TCTTATAAAGGTTTCAAAACCACAAATAGTTTTCTCTTTCAAGAACCCAGGACCGGCTTTCACAAAATTTCCAGTTGCAAACATCAAATTCCCTGACTTTCATGAATATTTTTAAAATTCCCTGACTATTCCCTGTTTTTTATGAAGAATAACGAATTCCCTGACTTTTCCCGGTATTCCCGGTTTTCCCGGCCGCTACGAACCCTGTATAAATATATATTATAGATATTATATTAGGTATAGACTTATTTTATTTTTGTGATTTTTCGGTTGTTTGTGTATTTATTTTTAAGTTTGTTTTTTATCGCACGTAAATAAATATGAATCTAAATACAATAAGGTTTTTTTTTTTTTTTTAATAATTTTGTTTCATGAAAGGTTCCTTATCAAATATCACAAAATGATGGAGTGCCGATTTTTGACATGACACTCAAACCAGTATTTTTACTTCAAAATTTCATTCAAGAGTAGGGCGGCAATTAATTTTTTGCACGATTTTGACTTTTGGCCAGCTTTTTCGGATTCTGCCCTACTGTGCGGCGTGTGCAAAATACCGTTTTCAGTGCGCAAAACCCCCTTTTGCAAGGCAGTCGTATAAAAAAATATTTTCGTTTTGACATGGTAGGTTAAAAATGAAGATCAGGGTAGTATTATCTGAATTTATTATATCTGTAACCGCAACTGTGAAAGAGCATGTCAGATGTATTTGTATGAATATCCTGAAAAAAATAGATCGGAATTTGTTTGAATTTTGAGCACTCGACAAGCGTAGAAATAACTATGGTCCGGGAATAAAACTCTAATAATGTTTTATTTTAATGTATGGTGGTAATAGTTTATATAACTAGATGGAGTTCACAGGGTCTAATGACACTTACAGTGTACGATAATTTAATTAACAAAAAATCTAAATAATAAATTTAGATAAATTTGGAACGAATATACTGAAGATGAATTTTTCGAGGCAAAACGTCTGATATCTGGTTCGGCTGAGGCCGTATAAAGAAAAGAAGTTGATGATGGTCCTGGAGAGACGAAACATTACATATAAAAATTGATTATGCCATTTGATAGAGGGCAAAAAGTGGCCCGGAGAAAGTGTTGTTCTTTTTTCAATATCACCTCAAACAAGGCTTAAATGAAACAAAAACGGATTTCCAAAATTTAAGTTTTTTTCAAATATTTCGAAAACTAATCATATTAACCTTGATTTTTTAGAGGCATAATGTTGGTCCCCTGATTACCAGGGATGGGCGTTTACGCGTCGACTTTAATTGTCGACGTCTACGTGTAGACTTCGCGTAGACTATGTAAACAACGTAGACTATGTAGTCAATGTAGACAAAGCGGAGTTTGCGCTCTAATTTCAGTTTAATCTAACCTATATTATATTTGCGTTACATTTACGTATGATCTATTTTGTGCTGTACTCAATTCATCACTCAACTTTTTCTGTTTGGCTGTTTTTACATAAACATAAAATGAGCGGACGTAAACATAGAACATAGACATAGAAATTGACCAAAAAAATATCAAGTTAATTTAGGGTTGAAGTCAGAAAGTTGGTTGAGGGTTTGCTTAAAGAATACACTGTGTCTGAATTAAAATTTTCTTGGTAGCTAACGCTTAATATTATTCAGTCCTGCTAAGTAAATCAATTCTTTTATACAAACATTTGACAATTTATGGTGACTTGACATTCTTGACAATTATGTGTTAATTTTAGAATAATTTTTAAATTGGTTAAAATTTCACAGTTTTATAATTTAATCTCAAGTTAAAAGCCTTGAAAGCTTGACAATTAAATAATACAAAATGTTCTATAAATTAAACCTTC